TTAGCTTTGTGCTACATCTGAATAGGATTTTTTTTTTAAATGCCCCAAATAAGTCTTTTAAATTCTACATCAGGCTGTGAATTAAATAGGCAATAAATATTATTGGTGCTAAGGAGCTACAGGCAATTTGTTCCAGGTCACTACAGTAATAAGTAAAGGGGACAAAAAACAACAAGGGTTCTGAATCCTAACTTTCCTCCACAATGGTGGCTACTTGTGATGAAAATGTCCTGGGGGCACAAAAGCCCTGCACAGAGCAAATCATGTGGTTTGCCCTTCTCCAGCCATAATCCTGATGTCTTTATTACAGGTAAAACTGGGTCTAAATAAAAACCAACATAAGGCAAAGGGTCTGGTTAAAGGAGGCATATGTCTATCTTCCTGACCAGCAAAAAAGGAATGTGAAATGATGGAACAAGAAGAAGAATTTCCTTGAGTGAAGGAAATGTATGAAAGCATAAGCTTCCTCTTTATGACTGAATGTGTAAACTGTGCACTCCTCTTTTGGAAGAGCACCCAGCAGAGGGTTTGGCTTATCCCAGGAGCTCAAAAACACAGCCCTAACCCTCCCTGTTCTCCAATCCAAGAACACCCTAGCTGATGAAAGCCTATATACCACCAGGAGGTATCAATTTGGAAATCTAATGGTTGAGGGCTGAGGAATGAGTTCTAAAGACAACAGAATCAACTCTAAGGTCCTGGGTATACTAAGTAATCGACAAAATACAAAGCTAGAATTAGAATTACAAGGTGATAACTGAAAGAAAACTATAATCCCAAGAATAAGCCATGAGAAAATGCACATGATTATGTAAGAAGTAGAGATTACATAATCAATAATAAGACTTACATCAAACTAATATTTTGTAAAGAGCAACCACAAAACAAAAATACTGAAAGCTTTAGAACTTCTTTGGCTAAAACAGGAATGCTTTAGTGAGGAGAGAAAAAAAGCAACTTCCCCACCTCTAGGTGGCTCCCAGTTTTAAACAACTATTTCTTTCCCTAACTGGTCAAAGAAATGTCTAGTGACATCAACACCTGAACAGTACCTAACATCCTTAGAACTCCACCTCTCATTTTTCTCCTGGAGTTTCCCTACCTTCCTTTGAATCTGCCACTGAGCAGTGGATAGCAGCTGACTGGTGTGTTATCATGGGATATGGTATAAAATAGTATGGCATAAGACATTTTTTTTCCTTTCACTAATCCTATACCGATGAGAAATGCATAATTATTTTAATGATGTACTTACAAAAGGATTAGCTACAACAGAAAATCACAAGGGTAACACTAATTAAAAGGTGTCTCAATTTATTACTAATATGAATTTTCTACAGAGTCCAAATGCATTAATTTTACTTGATATCTGTGAAGGCTCTTAAATATAATTCATATAACCAGCAAAGAAGGAACATAGAGCAGAGTTGGACTGGCTTTTATGTCACTTTCCAGAAAGCAAACTTAACAATGATAAATAAGGCAATGGAGATACAAATACAAAACTGATATTACTATCTTATTCATTATATCAACAAATATTTATTGAGCACTTAATATATAGAGGAATAAACTAGGCATTATCACTGCCCTTATGAGCAAGAGAGGGAAATTAAGCAATAAAACAATATGTAATTCTAAAATATGGTAAATATTAAGAAGGAAAAGATGAATATACTGCAAGGGAGAAAATTAAGGAAATCTAATTTACATAATGATAAGATTGGCCTTCTTAGAGAAAATATAGAGAAAGGATATTTTAGCTAGCACACCAAAATGAAAAATTACTAAAGGTGATGGCCCTAAGAGAGAGAGACCTGGCACAGGAGCAATAGTCCTGAGGCAAGTCTGCTGAGAACTGGCCAAGATGCTGGCAAGAGATGTAGGTGAGGGGGCAGAGACCAAATTACACAGGGCCTTGAAGGCATGTTAAGGATTCTGTATCTTACCTAAAGAATAAATGTGCTGGGCTGGGGTTGTAGCTCAGTGGTAGAATACTTACCTAGCACATATGAGACACTGGATTCGATTCTTAGCACCGCATAAAAATAAATAAATAAAATAAAGGTATTGTGTCCATTTATAACTAAAAAAAAAATTTTAAAAAGAATAAATGTGTTACCTGGGAGCCTTAAAAACAAATGACTCTTTTTCTTCAGGTTGCTGTTGGGAAAACAAACTGGAAAGAAAGGGTATACAGTGTCGCAGGAGGCTACTGAATCTGGAAGAAGTAACAGTAGCTTGAAGTAGGATGGTAGCATGTTAAAAGATGAAAATCAGATAGATCTGAAAGAGATTTCCCAGGAAAAATGGACAGGATTTTGTGGCAAACTGGTTTGGAGTGGTTGATAAACAGAAAAAAAGAAGAGATGAAAAATAGAGAAGGAACAGTTCAAAAGTCTGGAAGTCATGAGGTCAGCTCTGGAGAAATCTGAAATGTAGCCATTTATTGGCTAAGACAAGTCAGGCACTGTATTAGGTGTTCTGCTCATTGTAACATTCCTTATAGAAGTAGCATCCCCATTTTACAGACAGCAAATTGTAGATCACAGAGGTTGAATAGCTGGACCAAGACAATTTATCTTGGAAGTGAAAAATTCATACCTGCCACCCCAGTCTGTCTGTCTGGTTGGAGGGTAAACATTATTTTCATTATACAGAATACTTGGAAACTATATTTTTATCTTTCAAACCTATTTAGGGTTGGAACAAGCAAATACCCAATGAGAATAAATAGGTGATACATTACTTTTTTAATTCAAAATGTCAGATTTGTGATGCATAGTGTTTTCTTATCCAAATCCCATCCCCATTCCACTTCTACTTATAAAAATTTTTGCAATGTTTGAACACTAGCAAGACATCTAAGACCTTAACATTTTATAAAAATTAGCAAAACCATTATACCAGGAATTAATCATAATAAAAAGAGCAACAATAATCCAGAAGCAAGCAAGAGGTTTACTCTCAAGTCATTATATACATTAATATAAGACAGATTAAGAAATGAGTAAGTAATCTTGAAAAACCAATCATTTCTCAAACTGCAAGACATTCACATCAAAAATTGATACAAGCTACCAGAAAGAGAAGGCTGCAAAAGCCAAGCACTAAAAACTCAGATTAAAAAGTCACAATTAAAAAATATAAAAATAAAATAAAGGCAAAAGTAAATAACATAATCATGTATGATTTTAAATCTGCAGTTTGCATATATCACAACCAAACTCAGGACATACACCATAAAAATGACTTAAACATCCTCTTCTCTTTCTAACTGCTTTTCCCTGCTGCACACTGACACTTCTACAAACTGAAATGCCTTTCCTATCTGCACAATCCCATGATTTGCTCCCTCTAGGGGCTCCTAATGTCCCTAGAGCTACTGAAGCCCAGAAATAAGGCTTAATCAATGAACCTACAAATAATTCAATGCATTACTGCCAATTGTGTCAATTATGGAAAGCGCCATCATGAGACTCTCAAAAGGAGGGACAAATTTTGAGATGGGGAGATTTTTGAAAGATACAATCACCTACATAACAAATTATATTTTGTTCCATTTGATCCTTCAATAAAATAATCATCAAGTTATGTTCAGTGTTTTTAAAGTAAGGTACACTCAGGTGTAATTTTGATGGTTTGGGGAAAGATCCCCGTGGAAATAAATAATATTAAAAGTACCATTAGTATGACCACTAAAAGAACTCACACAAACCACTTCCCACACTGTGCTGTGTCCTGCATCCTGATTCTTGCATCCAAGGCCCTGCACCTCTTCCTGCAGAGAGCTGGCTGGCATTCACTGCTGCCTCATCCAGGCGAAGGGCAGGATGTTGAAAGCCCATTAAGAAAGCTTCCCATTTTCTGCTCCTTGGTAACATGATCGCAACTCCTGGCAACTACCAGATGAAACATTTTTTTTTAATAAAGAAAAACTACATGAATCAGAAAACAAAAGAGTTTGAAGAGCTGAGAGATCTATACATATTTAAAGACGGATCTAATGAAGAATTGCTGAGCCACAATCTACTGGAAAATCCATAAATGTTCGTCCCCGCTGTCACCAGGCTGGAGAAATTTTAAAAAATGCAATGATTTGCTGTATTGACAGGACTAGCCTGACAGGTTTAAATCAGCTAGGATACGTGCCCTGCATCGATTTCCCTTCTAAATCCCTAAAGATCAGGGGCAATGTTGACCTGCAATTATATCCTAAGATTGTGCTGCTCAAGATTCCATTTGTGTGTGGGAAAGTAGTGGTTCAGCAACACCAGGCGGCTCTATGATGCTAAAACAGCGACGCAACACTCATTAAGAACCCAGGTTTCGTCTTATAAAACCCTGCGGTACAAGGACTCGAATTCAAAGCTCATGTTCCTTAAAGTTGACGCATATCAGGCTTTCTGCGATTTGCCCTCTCAAAGTTTCTAGTTTGCAGAATGGAATTACTTTGAAAGTCCCCTCTTCTGGACTCCCCAGGAGGCTTGGCGACAGGGGGGAAAGGGGACGCACGACGGTCACCGTTCAAACAAAAATTTAAAACCTATAAACCAATCACTTCTTTTTCGGAGAAGAAAAGAAGCGTTCACCCAACCGCCACCCGGCCGGGCGAGCATCCGATTTCCATCTGGAGAAAAAAAATATATTAAAGAAGCCAGACATACATTTCCCTTCCCAACAAAAGTGGCCTCTAAACTCCCTTGCCAAGGACACTGGGAGGAAGCAGAAAAGCCACGAACAAGACCGTACTTTTTGGTCAGAGGCGCGTGTGTGCCTCGGAGAGAAGGCGCAAAGGGTGACACACCGGGGAAAAGGTGAACCGGGAGGAGGTGGGGAGCCCGCGGCGGGACGGGGTGGGGGCGGGCGGACGACGGGACCCACATGCGGCCAGAGTGGAGAGGGGGCGGGGAAGGGGCAGCCCCGAGGCTCCAGGAGCAGAGGGAGGGTCCCAGGCTCCTGCCCAGAAATCGCCGCCTCCAAGTAAAGTTAATACTTACTCAGTTTCGCAACTGCGCCGCTCCCGCAGGCCGGCCGGCGGCTGGGGACTCGGCGGCGCTGGGGACACGGCGGCGCCCGGAGCCCGGCGGCTGCCCAGTGCCAGTCCCCGCGCCGCCCAGCCGGCGTTCCCCCGGCACGCGTCCCGCAGTGGCGGGAGGCCCCGGCCCCGCGGCGCGCCCTCTCCGCGCACCTCCGCGGCCGGCTAGGTGAGTGTGGACGCCACCCTCGGGGGTGCCGGGTGCGCGAGCGCGCGGGCAGCAGCCGTCCCCAGCGCCGCCGCCGCGCTGCGGGTGTGCGGGCGTGCGGGCGAGGCTCGGCGAGGAACAGCGCGGCGGGCGCTGCGCTGGGCGCCGGACGAGTGCAGGCGGCCGAGTCGGCGGCCGGCTCGCTCCCGCGGCTGGTGCCTCTGGGCTAGGGGCCGGGCCGGGGGCCGGGCCGGGCCGAGCCGGGCGGCCGGGCGGCTCCGCCCCTTCGCCGGGTCGCGGGCTGAGCGCGCGAGATGGAGCGGCGCGGGGGCGCCCCCCTCGGCCGGGCGCTCGGGTTACAGCCGCGGCCGCCCGGCTCCCCCGCCCGCGCCTCGGCCGCCCGCCTGCGCCGGGCGAGACTGTGTAACGGAACTGGGACGCCAGCGCTGCATTGTGGGAGCTTTCGGGCCGCGGGGGAGCGCGGCGCGGCCCTCGGGCACACCCGGGCCAGACTCCAACGGCCCCTCGCGCGTCGGCCCGCCGCGCGCAGAGGCCTGCGGACCCGAAAGCCAGACGCCGTGAGGTGACCAGCGTCTCGGTGACGCATGCAGGAGCAAAATCTTCCATAGCCCAGGGCTGAGACTTGTAAAACTGCCCTCTAGGGTGACCCGGGAAAGTAGGAGGCCTTTTCCGCAGACGGGGAGGGGGGGAGGCTTTTCATCTGGAGTAGCTGTGATTCAGCGTCCCCCTTTGCAGCAGGCAGTGACTGAGGCAGGGAACGAAAAAACAAGCGAATGAATCACTTATGAGTAACAAAAGTTTAGAAAGGCTAGGCACCAATTCAGAAAAATCCCCCCCCCCCCCCCCCGCGCGCCACTGCACACACGCCTTTAAAAATAGCCGATAATCAGGGAAGGAAATCGCTACTTTGGGAAGTGCAGTGCAGACATATATGTTGTTTTCTGTTTTCACTCTTCACTTTTTTAAATTTAATGTCATGGAGTAATGCTAGCCATTGGACAAAAATGAAGTCTTTGGTCCAGGCTTTGCTCACACATCCCCATAACTCTGCAACAGCTATTAATATGAAAGGAGATGGGCGCAGATAATGGAAGAGATGCAAGAAAATGCTCCATTTATAGAATGCCCCTTTAATTTCAGACACCAGCTTTTTATCGTCAAAACAAGGATATTAAATTTGAAGCACAACTTGTTACACCTCATGTGATTCAGGACCTGATTGTTTTGACCCTTTGTTTCTTGGTTTTTGACCTTTTGTTACTCAAGAGCTCCTTTTTTTTTTTTTTTTTTTTAAGTTCCTCTGCCTTGCAGGTGGGTTGAGGAGGGAGCTCTGGTGAGACTAAAATTTGGCAAGTCAACAAACATTTGGTAGATTTGTGGAGGAGAAAAACTCTCCATCATCCAGATCAAAACCTGAGGGAATATGACTTACAGGTGACTCTATAGGGCATGCATCCTTCCTTAACTCTACTAGAATCTTTTTGAAGAAGTTGTTTAGCCTTAAGGTAAAATGTGTCCTCTAGTAGCCTTGTCAGCCTTCACTCTACAAACAGTATCAGCCACTGTCTGATTGTCAACTAATGGAAGAACTTTATGCTCATCTTATTCTGATCTTGGTGGCATTTGCCAATGTTCTCTCTTCTTAGAACTTCTCTTGCTTTAAAAGTCATCACTCTTTTGTGGAAGTCTTAAAACATGGATGAGTGATAGCAGGCAGAATTGTGACTATTAGGATGTAAGATTTTACAGAGTAGCTAGACCTTAATCTGTTTTTTTCTTGGTTACAAGGAAGGATCCCCACTTCAGTTTTATCACACATCCAGAGGTGAACAAGTTGACTGACTGGTGACAATCAACTCCCATTTGACCAGCATTTAGTAGGATTAAGTTTACTATGATTGAATAACTGTGTCCACTATTTAGGAGAAGCCCTTACTAAGATTCAGGCACCTGGTGAGGTATCCTTGTTTCCAAAGCAGAGTGTGCCTTACTGGTGGCTGCCAGAGTCACCAAAGTCATGAATTTGCCTCCGTCAGTGAAAAATCTCTTCCCTACTTAGTCCTATTTACTTGCATTCTTTCTTCTGCATATAGGAATTTAAGGTGTTTTCTTTCTTTCTTTCTCTTTTAGCTGTAATCATGTCCCTGTTAAGGTTCCCTGGGATCACACCAAATGTTTTTCTTTGATGGGATGTGTAAATAACTCTACTTGCAGATTCTAATTATATTCTTGGAAAAAATATCTAACTAGAAAGGGTAAGTATTCATACTGTGAAAACACTGTTAATAATAAGATTTTATTTTTAAGAAAACAACCTGATAATTTGGATTCATAAGAGATCATTGTAAAGGGAGACAGGCTAAGCTAGAGTGCACTGGGAATGAATCGGAGATGAAGCACCTGGAGATGTACTGGCAAGTATTTAGCAATTTCCTATTACTGTTGTAACAAATTGCCACAAACTTAGTGGCTTCAAACAACAAGAATTTACTGTCTTAAAGTCCTGAAGGTCAGAAGTCTAAAATTAAGGTATGAATTATGTTTCTTCTGGAGGTTGGAGGGGAGATCATTCCCTTGCTTTTCCCAGCTTCTGGATACACCTGCATACACCTTGGTTTGTGGCTCCTTCCATTTCCTCTGTTGTCAAGGCCCAGACTTCTTGTCTCTTTCCTCTCTGCTCTCTCACTTCTATTTTGTGGTGAGGGGGACATCTCTTTCCCTGAGAAGAGAAATTGGTATAGAAGTGTTTTTGATCAGATGTTAGAGACGGAATTGAACTACTTAAAGGAAGAGATGACAGGTGACTTTATTATTTACCAAATCTTCACCAGGGTTACTAGTTTGACTGTAACATTGGTGAAGCAGTGACTTTTTACCTCAGCTAAATCTGTATTCATCCCATGACCCATGTAATTCAAACCAAGGTGTTGATACACCAAGAAAGCCTAGATCATAGGCTTTCTGCAGTTTATAGGGCTAAATCTCTATGCAAATCACTGGCAACTCTTTTATGATGTCCAGGGAATCATTTTGCTAAGTTTGAGACATATGTTGGTAGACTGGCCTACCAAGGAACAGCAACCTGTAAGATAGGTTTCTGGGAAGCCAGTGATTCCAGGCTTAGTAAGGTCTATGGGACACATTTATGACTCCCATTCTAGACTAGCTAAGATGCTTGTACCCAGACAGAGAATAATCAGTAGGTCAGAATCCACCAAGGGCAAAGTATTGGACACTCCCTTCATGAGGAAGTCCAGGGGGACCATCAAAATTAAAATTTTGACTTGACAAGTGGGTCTATAGTATAAGAAGTAATAAATTATGATTCTTTATTATCTGTCTCTGCCTGTCTTTTTCTCCCTCTCTTCTTCTCCCACTCTTGTGTTTCACCCATAATAAATGTACAATTCCCCGACCTCTTAAATGGTCATTCAGGTCTCTCACCACATTTCCTGAAATTGGTGTTTACTTATTGTCATCTCCAACCTCAGCCCTATACCCTGGTTAAAGCCATGGAGCATGTATGTACACTCATCCACTGAATACCCCATGCCTGACTCAGGGCCTAGTACAGTGCTGAGCTTAACTGGTACTAGTTGAAATAATAATTAATGAGTGAATAACAATGCACATTTAATAAACTAATGCTACTTATTTCACCTTACAACTTTCTTTGCTTTTCCTCCTTCTAACATATAAGATTTTCCTCCTTCTAACAATGAAGATTTTGCTTTTCCTCCTTCTAACAATGAAGATTTCCATCCTTTTTTCAATTAATAACATTTAAAAAAATAAACTAAGGTACTGGTATTACAATAATGGACAGAACATAATCTGGACCTTCATTGAGCCTCACAGTCCATCTAAGGAAACATTCTAAGAAAAGGAAAATGAGGCAAGCAATCCTATCTAGTCTATTCCTTTCCTCTCCTTTTTTTTTTTTTTTTAATTAGTAACAGAAATCTGGTTTGTGTCCAGCTGAAAAACTTCACTGTATAACTTTCCTTGAAGATGGAGGTAATTAAGTATAAGCCAATGTCATGTAGGGACTCCCAGAAAAACAACTCTTTATGTGTTGGTGGTAGGGTAATGCCAAGGCTACCTCAAACTAACTCAAGCCCTGTTGCTGCCTGGAACATGGATGAGATAACTGGAGCTTTAGCAACAGTCTTGTAGAATTGAGGTTATCTTGAAGCCCAAAGTCATATGCTAGGGAAGATAGCAGGAGGATGAAAAGAGCTATCCTAATAACACCAAACAACCTACCTGTAAAATTTCTTTTACATGAGAGAAAAATAGTAGATCTCTTAATTAGAGCAAAACACAGTTGCCAACTAATACAATAAATAATTATGGTGACATTAGAGGTATAAAAGAGTGTATATAAACTTTGGGGGGTGTACATTTAAGGAAATGATGAATTTTGTTTGAGGAAAAAGGAGATTGGAAAGGGATTCACAGAAAAGATGACTTAAATGATGAATAGCTATTCACTTGGTTTGTGTTATGATTTAGATATTAGATGTCCCTCAAAAGTTCATGTGTGAGACAATGCAAGAACATTGAGAGGTTACATGATAGGGTTGTGAGAACCTTAACCCAATCAGTGACTTAATCCCCTGATAGGGATTAACTGAGTGGTAACTGAGGATGGTAGGCTGTGGCTGTAGGAAGCATTAGGGGGTGTGTGCCTTTGGGGTTTATATTTTGTATCTGGCAAGTGGAGTCTTTCTGCTTCCTGTTAGGGTGTTCTAGCTACTTTCCTCTGCCACACTCTTCTGCTATGATATTCTGCCTCTCCTCGAGGAATGGAGCTGGCCATCTATAGACTGAGACCACTGAAACTGTGAGCCTCC